GGGGGGAGTGGGGGAACCAGCCTAAGCAGACCCACTCCCCAACCACAAGACACCACCACAGGGAGGGGGAAGCAACCCACAACCACACCACACCACAGGGAGGGGGAGGAGGAACCATTGGGGGGGGAGGGGGGGGGGGGCCGGCCGAACCGGGATCATATATATATATGGGGAAAGAAGGGACTCAGCCGGAAGTAGCTATTCAGCATGGCCACAGGGTCGTATACCAAAGCCATGGTTCAGGCCTACAGCTAGGCTAAGTCAAAGCCGGGCTGAGGGATCCACTAACAGTGCTCTGTCCAGCACGGTTTGGGTGCTGCATATATGCATATACATACGTGGTTACTAGTAGGAAAGAAAACATATATAAGATTCTAATGTATAAATTGTATAGCATCACGGCACTCTAATCACATGCACGGTCCACTCATGGGTCGCGAGAACCCTTAAAGCTATATTATGCTCCGCACAGGCAGCCAAGATGCCCTGGAAGCCCCTGCTGGGAACGGAAACTTGATGGCATGCTTCTGCGGTAACGCATCGGATCTCGAACGAACGACCTACATCCACATCAGCTAGGGCTGCAACACAATGGCATCAAAGCTTTCTGCAACGTCCTGGCACGGGCTCTGCTTCAAATCTCTACAAACGGGCCATGCTTTAAATCTGGACAAAACTGGCTTCGGGTGTTGATCAGTCTCTGGCATGCCGCTGAATGCCACAGCAAATAACTGCCTCTGCATCGGCCCTGCTGACATGAACCATAAGCGATCAAAGAGCCTGAAAAGCCCTTCACTGGTTCAGGGACGCTTCCGAACCCACCTCCGGTGTTTTCTAGATTAAAAATTGCGACCACAGTTACTGTTTTTGTTTGGTGCCGTGCTAAATTCCCGTGGCGAGTCGACTCTAGCTCAGGTGGAGAGCGCAGATTCGCCCCACGCCTGCTTGATGCGCAGAGGCACACGGAGTTTTGGGCTGGGATTGCCAACAACATCAAGACCTCCCCCCCGAAAAAAAAACGTAAAACCCGGTAGCCGGCAAGGAGCCTTTTGAAGCCCCAAGCCAAAGCCCCAGAAAGCCCTTTTTAAAGCCCTTTTAAAGCCCTGAACCCTCCTTGCCTCGGGCTTTGGGAGAGCTTCTGCCCGGGAGCGACCCCGGAAGGCCCAGCGCTGGCCGAAAAAGACCTCTAGTTAATATAGGGTATATTATGTGTGTGTGTGTGTGTGTATATATATATATATGTGGGGATATATACATATATATATATAATATATCGCATAAGCCCAGGGGCTTTCGTGCCAGCTGGCTCTTGGTGAGCTTTGGGGGGGGGTGGGGGGGTTGGCAGCTCAGGCTTCAGGGGTTGAGGGTTTTTAAGGGCTCTGGGGACTGAGGACTGAGGGAGTTGGGATGAGCAATGCCCCACTTCATGCCAAACCACCCAAGACCTGCACTGAACAAAACTGCAATAACACCAAACCCAATAGGGTGGAGGGTTCAGCATTTTGGGGCCTGTTCGGTCGAGGGTTCCAGGTTGCGTGCATCTGCAAGCCCTTCCATCCGACAACTCACAGGGCCAAGCGAAGGAGCTTCAGAAAAACTGGTATCCAGTGAGTTGTACAGACCCCAAGAAACATACTCTCTCCTGCAGAAACGCCGACACCACAGGCTTTGTGCCCAGTTGCGAGGCTGCCAACGAGCAGTGGATCTATCAACAGGCGCTGCTCGCCAATCTCCTGCTGGCTTGGAGCGGACAGCGCTCTGATTAGATTGTACATGTTGATATATTTCTGTGCCAGAACCTTAATTATTAACTGTTGCGGATGGTATGCAGATTCGCATGCAATCAATGCAGCTTTCGCTTTATCGTTGCATTACTGCGCCTTCGGTTCGTGGAAAAACTGGGAGTTGAAGACACTATGGAACCCCTAGCAGAGACCCAAACCAGTAGAATCCGTCGTCAGGACTTACACGCACCTCATTCAAGAAACTCGCATATGCTGCCAAGGCTCCAGGCTCATCGAATTTATGCCGAGGTATGTGAGGACAGGGCTCATCCCTGCAGTGGAACGGACTTGCGGTCATGCACACCGAGCTGGGGGCCCCTACGGCCCTACGGCGGGTTACGGCCTGTCAAGACCGGCCGAGGTCTCGCCGTCTCTGCTTCAGAAAAATCGTCGGATGATGGCCCTAGCGGCAGAACCTTGTGGCAACCCTTATCATAGTACACCATAATGACCCCCATTCTAACCTTGAAAATAACCCTTTAATCTCCCTCCCCTATAGTATATCCCATACAGTCACCCTTGTAGTATAACCCTTGTCTTGCAGTAACCCCTATAGTACCAGCCTTGCAATACCCCCCGGTAACCTCCAAAGTAACCCTTGCAACCCTGATCGGGTTGAAAGCCGAAAGACCCCCTCAACCCTGAACCCTAAACCCTAAACCCTACACCCTAAACCCTACACCCTACACCCTAAACCCTCCAGCCTACACCCTAAACCCTACACCCTAAACCCTAAACCGGACACCCTAAACCCAAAACCGGACACCCAACACCCTAAACCGGACACCCAAAGCCTTCGGAGAGCTTCGGCTCCGCAGTCTCCGTGGCCGCACGCGGCGCCCTCGGAGATGTGCCTCGGAAGACTGGGCTTCAAGTTCTAGCGGTCTAGGGTTTTTTAGGGTTTAGGGTTTAGGGTTTAGGGTATATAAGGGTCTAGGGTATGAGGGCTGAGGGCTTAGTGTAGGGCTAGAAGGGTTTAGGGATTAGGGGGTAGGGCTATATATTATGCCTTACGAGAATCTAGGGCCTAGGCCTTTAAGATAAGAGCACTACGACACAAGTAGCTGTTTATCGGGCTATAAAGGGATAGACTGTAGGGGGTTACTATATATCAACATCTATCTATCTATCTATCTATCTATCTATATACCATCTATCTATCTATCTATCTATCTATCTATCTATCTATCTGTCTATCTCTATATATATATATACCATCTATCTATCTATCTATCTATCTATCTATCTATCTATCTATCTATATATATACCATCTCTATCTATCTATCTATCTATCTATCTGTATACCATCTATCTATCTATCTATCTATCTATCTATCTATCTAGTATCTATCTATCTATCTATCTATCTATCCAATATCTATCTATCTATATATATATATGGGATGCTTTTCTGAGGCCGGTCCCAGGCGAGCGGCTCTTCCCTGAAGGCGCAGACACGAAGCCTGCGAGGTGGCCTGAGAAAACGCACTTCAAAGAGGGGCCTTAATCATTAGAATAGGGTTTTGGGGTTTAGGGTTTAGGGTTTACGGTTTAGGGTTTAATAGGGCCTTAATATTTAGAATAGGGTTTTGGGGCCCAGTATACTATAATAAGGAACCTCCAAAATATTATAGGTAAGTATTAAGGTCCCTATATTATTCGACCAAGCCCCTGCAAAAGGCTGTAACACCAGCAAGGAAGAGTGCATCGCCGTGTAGGCTTGGGTCATCATGGCGGCAAGGAAGCAAGCGTCACTCCCTGATTAAGTTGAACGTTTTCTCATGTACAACACACAAGACCCACAGCCTCAGAAGCCAGAAGTCAGAATATCGCAGGCAAAGGGCCCAGGCCAAGAGATCCCAGGAGCAAAGCCAGCCTGGTCACTGCGGATAACTCGAGAAGCAGCCTCAAACCCACGACCTGTGGGGACCGGGTGAAGTCTCCAAAAAAACGCGGGCTCCATTTGCAAAGCCCAAACTTCCCCCAGCGTGCCCGGCAGAAGACCGAGTCCGCTTGCAAGGGGCCATTGCAAAGCTCGAGAAAAGCCGGTAAGCTTTTAGAGCAAACCTAGCCCCGGTAATCCTCGGCGAGCTAGGATCCGGCAGTTTTTCCAACGCTCAAGGTAGATGTTTCCAAAGACGGCAAGCTTCAGGATCACTTCCGAGATTGGGATTGCACGGTCTAGCTTTGGTAAAGGCTGCAGGGACCAAGCTGGGGTCTATAGAATAGGCTTTCGGGCCAAATGGCTGAACCACCCGTCGCGATCGTCAACCAGCGTCGCCCTCACATCTTTCTGCATCTCAGCTTTTCGGTTCTTGTGCTTTCGGGCGGAAGGGACCAACCGCCGACTGTTCATCAACATGGTCAGGAGACTCAGAAATTCAAGTTGCCTCACGCCTCAGCGATTCCTCTAGACGTGACTCGAGGTTTCAGGGCCCCTCGCCGAACACAGCACACAAAGAAGGCTCTTTTGATGCTGTCTTGGAGGAGTGCTTCTTCTCCCAGTGCCCTGCGCAGACCGGATCTCCAAGTGCACGAAGTCGTCCTCCTGCATCCGCAGACGACTCAGTACCAGTATCCCTGGTAACATGCTTGCAGGCCGCAAGTACTTACAGTGACAAAGGTCCAAAAACTAATTCGTGTGAAAACTCAATGAACGTCTTGATCCCGTGCCATGCTTTGTTGAAACAGACTCGGAGTAAGCTGATCCGGAGAGCCTCGATAGTAGTGGCCGCTCAAGCCATCTTGACCTGTCTCAGGTCGTAACTTCCAGGTCTGGGACCGAAGTGGGGGTTTCCGAAAATAGGGGACCCTAATATAGTACCCTAAATAATAGGATCCTTGTTAGAAGGACCCCAAAATAAGGTACCCCCTATTTTCGGAAACTCCCAAGTGGCTTGTAAGCAGCACCCTCTACCCAGCCTGATTACCTCACACAGGCAATGCCTCTGACTCCCCCCCCAATCAAACGGCGACGGAAGGGCGCCGCCAATGAACGTCAGCTCGGACACGACGGGCTGCAGCCAGGACCAAGGTATGAGGCCGGAAGATTGATATGCGCGCATGCATGTCAGGCAGGCATGCAAAATTCACGCAGAGTTACTTAATATTGGGTGACGTGCCTGCTTTTGCTCGTTCTGTGCGCCCAATCGACACACCGAACGGTGCGCATTCAGCGGCACAGCCAAAAAAATCAGCTCTCGAATCCCGAAGCTGATGCACTTCTGCCTGAGCCTCCTCCCAGCGCCCAAGCCAGCAGCCTCAGACTCAGGGATCGTATGGAAAAACGAAACAGCAATGACTGCAAGAGCAATGACAGCAACAAGTGTTTTCACATGCATGTGTACCAATAGCAAGGCGGGATAGTACAGAGCACGTACAAGCCTTAACAGATACCTGGAAGGATGCCAGAAAACGATGAAGGATGTTGCAAAGTCTGATAGATGGAAGGAATTTACAGCCTGTCCGTGCATATATATGCAGATGTCTACATCACGTAAACGCAAAATACAAAACACGAATGTAGTTTCGTTGTGCGGCTAAGGAAAAGGAGGTTATCCGGGGCAGGCTTTGGGCTGACATAAGGGCGCAACCGGTAGGATAACTTTCATAGATTATTTTTGTAGTATATCAGGTACACAGCCCGAAATGCTAAATTATAAGACGGATCCGACTAATGACTGGCACCTTGATCGATCTGGTACTGGAACAGGGAGCACTCAGCACCTGCCATGTGCTTGGCGATCTATCCTGCGTCAGTCCTTTGAGGAGCACCCTGCACGGAGGTACAGTGCAGCAGGGCACAGAGGCTATGTGTATGAAAGCGATGAGACATATCCACTGAAAAGCAGTACGACGATTCGGCCCTTAACTCACATTGGAAGCATCAACGAACACATGGTCCAGAAGCTGTCCCCCATCCCATGCTCAAAGTTAAAAGCCGGCAATGCCTACCGAGATGCATACCTGTACCAGTGCAAGTGCACATTTCATGCATGAGATCTCTACCAAACCTAAGGTCTTCACGCATTCTAGAGATCATAGTTGTACTTATCTACATATGGAGAACTGCATGGACAAAAGACTATGTACAATGCATACTCTCCCTTGAAACCCTAATAGCTGGCCTGAACGACAGCAGGCTTCCACCTGAGCAGTGCATCTGTGGGAGGAAGAGGAGTTTGATCGAATGCCTACATCAACTCGACACTTAGTAAGGGGGTTGCAAGATGATATTTATGCTCAACACTCATGAATTCCCGCGAGCCTCCAAATTACTTCCACCTGCAGCACCCCCTCTTCTACCTACGATCACCAACTGTGGCGATCAATGCACCTGGATTGCTCTGATTCCTTGTTAAACGAGCCTAGATCCTAGATGTCCTGGCTTCGCACCAGGAATGTCCGATCAAGCACACCTGCATCGCTGGGAAAAATGAGTTGAAAAATCCAATGCCAAGTTGTTTCAACAGGAACGGATCCGGGGGGTAATGAGACACATGCTGACCCTTGCGATTATTGGCGCACAAGTACATTGCAGGACTGCGTGGGGGAAGTTGTGCGACACCTCTGGGGCTATCAACACTCGGATGGGCTAGCGGAAGAACCTGGTCAAGACAAGCCGCTTACCCACGACGTTAAGCCCGACCGGCCCCAGAGTCAGATCATACCTGCCCGACCACATCCAGCACTTGCCCGCTCTAGTTTCTAGGCAGCGCACACACTCGTCGACGCTTCGTGCTGGTGGCCAATGGCCTGCGAACATGCACATGCCGTGCAGGCATATTTCTTGTCTTCAAGCTTGTACTGTGAGCCTGCCGTTTCCTTTGACTTCACTATTCAGTTGTTCTGTTTCATAATGATTGTGGGAGGTTAGAAATCTACTAGGACATTCCTCGGTTCGCATTCTTGCTAGCTTGGCCTTCGAGACCATGCCTTGATCCTATATATATATATATATATATTGTGTATATATATATATATACCAAGAGAACGAATCACCAGATAGCCCCGTGCAGAAGCCAGTAAGAGGGTGAACCACGACCTCAAAACTCCTTCCATGCTGTTCGCTTCAGGCTCCCACTCAGCCCATAGAACTGGGCAGTGGTCGACGACCTCGGAGAGAAGAGAGGGAGGGTTTAGGGTTTAGGGTTTAGGGTTTAGGGTTTAGGGGTTTAGGGTTTAGGGTTTAGGGTTTAGGGTTTAGGGGTTTAGGGTTTAGGGTTTAGGGTTTAGGGTTTGGAGGGAAAGAGAAAGAGAGAGCGAGCGAGCTGGAGACAGAGAGACACAAATGAACTCACGGACGGACGGGTACACAGATGACAATATAAATCTAGGTATGAGTACTGAATACCAGTCACCAGTGCGAGAACGACGCACGAACATGCAGATACACGGACTCACAGATACACAGCTAGGCAGAGATGCAAATGTCTCAACATATCCGTGCATGGACAAACACATGGTAGACACGGGAAAAGTAGTGATGCGGGTACAGTTGCATCTGTATATTTTGGTATTCGAAGATGCGTGCACGCTGCATGTTGTGATATAGTGAAAAGACTGTTCATGTTATGTTGTTTTGTCTCGTGTTGAGTTACGCCATGCTATGTTACAGTTATGTTCTGTTACGCAGTGCTCAGCTCTGCTGTGCTCTGCTCTGCTCCGCTGTGCTGTGCATGGCTGTGCTGCTGTGTTGCTCTGTGCTGCGCTGTGCTACGTTGTGTTGCATTCTGGCATCTTTCGTCACAGCAGAGAGCTTTGCCGTTCTCTTCCCAACTTCCAGATGCTCAGCCAACCTGGAGAGACGTCCACGATGCTCCCACATCCCAGACCGCGAACCTGGACTGAAACTGATCCTGCAAAGTCTTCCCTGAACCCCAGACACTACACCCCAAGCCACAGATCGCCCGAAAGCCCCACAAGGCCCTACGAGTATTCTTAATAGTTACCAATACTGTACTATTTTCATTGGGTTCCTTATGATAATCATAGTATCATGGGCCCCAAAACCCTATTAACAATCATTAAGGTCCCTAAGGGAGAGAAGGCTGAAGGCTCCGGCCATTCACAGCGAGGTGCAGGTCCCAAGGCCGCAGCGAGGCACCTAAAAACTAAACTGCCAGCTCGCTTCGCGCACTTCAGGGGAAGAAGGAGGCGGTGGTTTAGGGCCGTGTAGGGTTTTTGGGTGTTTAAAAACTCACGGAAAGTTAAAGGTTTAGGGGGCAGCTTGGGATCTGATGAGCTCCTTTAGCAAACGTTAAAGAACCCTTATTTAAACCTCAAGGAAGCCAAGGTCCCCTTTTATGACTCTTGGGAAAGCTGTGGGTGTTCAGCCGCGGCTGTGAAGAGTGTGCCGATGGCCGCTACAGGATTGTATAAAGCTCGCACCTACTTTTTCAAGAAGACCGAGGACTGCACGAAGAGAGGTTGCCAAGCTGATCTGACGTCCAAAAGGCCTGGCCGGCTCGAGCAGCCATTTCTCCAGGTTCGAATCCGCTCCCTCCATACCGAGAGGGCCCCCTCTTGGGAACTTTTCGCACCTTGGCCTCTGTGTTTGGTGCGCTCAGGCGGACCTGTAGCAGGTCACATGAAGTCGAGCATGACAAGCTCTGCAAAGCTTGAACAGCACTCACATGAATGTCCACGCTCAGAACCAGGGATACCAACCGAAAGAAAACACTGTCACTACACCATGACAATGACTGAAATACGCACTCATCCCCTGCGGCGCTGCCATGTGGGCAAGACAAGCGGATCTCATACTACCAACTTTCAGATGCAGCTGTACTACACTTAAACTTATACTGTACTCCAAAACTCTATTCCAATCAGTCTAATCGCGAAGGCCCCTATACAGCGAAACGAACCTGCAGCCCGAAAACCCCAGTCCAATCCTGAAGGCTCTGAAGGCCCCTACATGACCCTTCTAGCTTGTTACAGTAAACTATACTATCTTCTAGTGCCATATACTAAAATATTAGAGTCTACTATAGTATACCATAGTATACTATAGTATACTATAGTA